GTAGAACTTGCATTGTAACATTTATTCCTCTGATTGGCTGCTTTATTCCTATAAATGAAATCAAAGATATTTGTATATTTGGTGCACTTTTAAAAAATTTTTTTAAATATTCTTTTTAAAAATAAGAAAAGAAAAGAAAAGAAAGGGGTGTTAAATTCCTCCTAAGAGCCCATTGAAGAGACCCATCAACCTCGTAAATTCATCAGGTCACAGGACACAGAATTAATGTTCTAAATCACACATGAATGCTATCAAAACATATTATCCTCAACTATTTCTGGGTAATGAAATGCTTCACTATGCACTTAACAAAAACAGGTACAGGATCTGTATGCTAAAAATTACCAAATGCTGAGGAAAGAAATCAAAGAGGCATACAATATTCATGGATAACAGTAAAGTTATCAAATATTACCAAAATAATTTATAGGTTTAGCACAAGTCTTGTTGAATTCCTAATAATGCTAAGGACATAGAAAAGCTTTTTCTAAAATTCATATCTAAAGACACAGATCCTAGAATAGCTAAAGTATCTTGAAAACAAAGTCAGAGAAATCTTTGTACCCATCTTAAAGCCTAGTATCCAGCTGTAGTCATCAAGACAGTGTGTTATTGGTTCACAGAATATAGATCAAAGGAAAGAAAAGAGTGCAAACAACCTCATGCAGTATACTCAGCTGATTTAAAATAAGTATAAAGCAGTGAAATGGAGAGAAAAATAGCCTTTCAACAGAAGGTGTTGGAGCAATTTGACATCTGAGAGAAAAGAAAACAATTGAAAAATAAAACCAAAACAAAAAGTCTCAGGTCATACAAGGGAAGTAATGAATCATAGACTTAAATATAAAACATAAAGCTGTAAAAAATATTAGGGAAAATAAGGAGAAAATATTCAGCACTTAGACTTGACACCAAGATGCATCTGAAAAAGGAAAATGGATAATTGAGTCCCAGTGTGGGTGAAAACTTTTGTTCTTCCACAGGCCTGTTAAGAGGATTATAAGATGAACTACAGATTGGGGGAAAATATTGCAACTCACATGCTAACCAGGGACAAGAATCTAGACTGTAAAAAGAGCTCTCCAAATCACTGGCCTAAAAACATCTCAGAATTGTCCTAATCCAATTAAAATGCACACAGACATTCACCAAAGAGGACATACAGGTGTCAAATTCACACATAAGTTGGTGGTCATCATCCCCTGCCAGGGGAATGCAAACCAAACCGCAGCTGTCAGTAATGAAAACTGTGCCAACGACAGACGCTGGTGAGGGTGCCCAGAGGTCGGCTTGCGCTGCCCCACGGCTGGGATGTCCAGTGCTGCCGTCATTCTGGACTGGAATTGGGTAGTTTCTTCTAAAACTAAAGATCTAGCTGCTGTGTGTCCCTGTTCCTGCACCCAGTGGCATTTAACCCCCTCTCTCCCTCAAAAAAAAGAAGATTTTTGTCCACACAAAAACATATCTGTAAATATTCATCTCAGCTTAGTTGAAGACAGCCCCAACCGGACGCCACCCGGTGCTTCCCAAGGTGGGTGACTGCACAGCCGAGCTACCTGGAGGACGACGCAGCGATGAAACGGAACCAGTGGTTGATACCCAGCCTGGACGAGTCTCCAGAGACTGTGCTTCCGTTCCTCAAAATCATGGCTTCATGGAACACATTTTATGATTATCCAAAATAGTTGTTGATCCTCAGAAAACTAGAGAATGTGGAAAAGAACATAAAAGAAATGTACCATAAACCAGTGACTCAGAAAACGGTGATTTCTGCAGGTGAGAGTCTACGTAGGACTGTCCTCCTGGCTGGCTTGCGTCCCTTCTCTGTCTTTCCATTCTGTTCTCTTAGGACTTTGTTTCTTATTAAAGTGAGTCAGTGGAAATTAAAACTGGGCCAGGATCTGGGTGGATGCGGCGCACAAGGTGGCGACGAAGTCTCCGTGTCAGCACCGTGAAGACCATGGCTTCTGGCGGTTGTTCGGGTCCTGTCTCTGCCTTTTGTGGCTGCATAGTGAGCACCTGCCGGGGAGCGGCGCTATGCAGCAACACTTTCTCACCAGCTAGAGCTTTTGCACGACTGTTTCCTGTCAGGACCTGGAAGGAAATATCTGGGCTCAGAGGGTTGGACCGACTCTGGCGACGAGGACTGAGCAAGGTGGCGGGAGCGCTGGGCTCTGGCGCAGTGTTGACAGCCTCACAAGCTCAAGAGCTCCTCTGCCCCGATCTGAACACAATTTACATGGAGAATAGCCGCGTCGTGGAGACTTCTCAGAGCTGGACTGCCGGATTGCGATGGTGGATTTTCTCTTTTTGCAAATGAAATGCTGAGTTGATGAAGAGCAGCGGCTCTCCAGAGCGTCCCCAGAAGAACGGGGTGGCTGACTTTTGTCCCTGACGAGATATTCCTGTCACAGAAATCAAGGTGGATTTAAAGTGTCCAATAGTAGACCTAAAATTTTCACTTTTGGAAATACAATTGACCTACCGAGCCCACGTGTCCCTTGTGCATTCGGACACGACAGAGCAATGCAATAAATAACCCTCACTATGCGGGTGACCTAAACTGGGGGACCTGCTGGTTATGTCCATTCCTCTTTCTCACACGCTCTCGCAGTCCACAGGTTTCTCCACTGAACAGAGGCGTCAGCGCGCGCTTGCACTCAGCAGAGACTCCTCGAGTTCACGAGCTAAGTTGTTCATTCGAGTTCTTGGACCTGCTCTGTGCAGGTGTCCTGCTCCCCGACAGGACGGTCAGCTGACCCCCGCATCCTGGCAGGGCTAACTGCGTGGTCTGACCCCAGCATTTCCAGATGTCCTCATGACATTTCACGAGTCAAGGGGCGCTCGGGCCCGTGCCCGCGTGTCAGATGTATTACGTGCAGGTGTGCACTCCCGCCCCGCGTGGGAGCAGGACAGCGCTGCCGCATACGCCTTGAGATGCGTCCTGTGAGTGACACTGTCCTCTGCTGGACTAGGGCAGTTTGGCGTGTCTCTGTTACCAGCCAGTAGCAGCAGCCACGTGACACAACCTGCTCTCCGGCCCTGCCCTGGAGTCCCCAGTGACCCGCCTACTCAGCCAGACCGCCTGGGCTTGCCTCCTCGGACGGGAGTGAAGCCCACAGAGCTTTCCAGAAAGGTCCTTGTTAGGAGACACTTCCTCACACTGCGCTGAAACCTGCCTCCTAAGAGCCTCCTGGCTTAGAACGTCTCCAGATTGGTGTGAAGACCGGGCAGGCCAGACCTGCTCCACGGAAAGGAATAGATAATATCGGAACGTTGACTGTGCCTCTAGGCCTAGCATGGACGCGCCTGAGTTAGCGTGATGCCTGTGGTCAGGTGACTGCCATGGCTAAACCCTCGGACTCCTCTGCACGCCTGCGGCCCTGCCTAGTCTGCAGGGAGATGGGGTGGGACAAGTATTTGTGGTCATTGATGTCACGAGGGCTTCGGACAGTCAGACCATCCAGGGCCACGGCTTCCCCTTTAGACTCCGCCGCCCGGGCGCACATTGATGGGGGTGCTCAGCCCGCGCCTGGCCGCCCTCTGCAGACCTCCCACAGGGAAACAGACTCCCCCCAGCGGGTGCTGGGGGCCTCTGCGCATCTCGGGGGCTTCCCTAAGCCCTGGTCTGCTCCGCTCCTTACCCGCAATGCAAGTATACAATTGGGTCCGAAAAGAGTCAATGGATATTAAAACAGCCTGTGCCATCTAAAACCTCATGACTGAAGTCCGTCTAGAGTCTATCCATATTTATTGATCATTCCATTGTTTGATTCTTTCACCCCCTTTTTAAGCAGGATCTGTACCTGCCAAGAGGGCTGGAAATGACCCTCGCTCCCTCCCCACCCAGGACCCTGTGGGACACTGACTGGGCTTGAGGGGCGTGGGGCCCGCGGGGGCAGGGCCGAGTGCCCGTCCCTTCCTGGCGTCATGACTGGCTGTCCCGGGGTGGGCGGGTTGAGAGAAGACCTGGACCCAGGCGCCCGGCGGAGGGTCTGGCCCGTGGTGATGAGCGTCAGCGGCCAAACATTAGTCCCTGCCGCTGCCTTTCCCTTCCCGTCGGCTTGAGCAGGGTGGCTCCACGTGCAAAACAGTTGCCCTTTTTAAGTTAGGGTGATATTTCCAGCACTGGATAGGAGTCAGAAAGGAAAGGGTCCTCTCCAGATGGATCCTCGTCAGATCCACGCCCCCTGCTTGTCCACTGCGGGGTCCCCCGCTCTCCCGCAGCGCCACCCCCCTCCAGGGCGGCCAGGAGGCTCCTCCCGCAGCACCACGGACAGTGGCACTGCGCGTGTCCAGGCCTCGGCCGTGGCTTCCGCGCACAGTGGAAACTCTTCTCCCGAGACCTGCAGAGCTTCCGCGGCTTCTCCGCCTTAGGCGCCGACTCTGGGACACACCGTTTCCACACGCGCTGCGCACACTCGGGCCTGCTGCCCTTGCACACCCTGCTCGTTCTTGAAGGGTGTCTTCTTGGCAAACTCACCTCCAAGTGTCAGCCCTTGGGGGCCGGGCCTCTGCCTCCCCGCCCCGCCCACACCCTGGTCTGGCCCCCCTGGGCGCCTGGTCCTCTGCCTCGGCCCTGTGCCCTCGGCGTCCGCCCCCGGACCCACGCCCTGGCTCACCCCGCGGCCCCTGGTCTCGATGCCCCGGGCGCCAGCACGTGCGTCCGGCAGGTTCCCTGCGCTTGCTGAGGGGAAGGAATAAATCAATGAATGAATCAGCCGCCTCCTAATCAAGTTACCAACAAACGCGACTCCCGCAGCCGACACGTGTGCGTGGGGTGTGGACACGCGGCCCTCCCGTGGTGGGTGGGGGCGGCTGAGGGGGGCCGCCCAGGGCAGCGCTGGGCAGTTCAGCGGGGCCTGCCTGTCCCCACAGTGAGCGCTGTCCTGTCCGTCCGTGCGCTCGGGCCCCGCTAAGCCCCATTGTGCTGGGGGCCGCGGGGACTCCTGCCTCTGCGGGTCCCCGCGTCCTGACGGGCCCTGCTTTCGCCCTGACAGGTTCCTGAGGCAGACCCCGCAGGGAGAGGCGCCCGCGGCCGAGCGGTCTCTGAACCGGGAGGCGTTCGCCGCCCTGAAGCAAGCGCTGGGTGCGGTCGGGTTCAGCAGCCTGGTGAGTCCCCAGACACTGCGCGGGACACCGGCCCCTCCTGAAAGCCTGTCGTTCAGAAACCTGCCCGGGCCCCGGCCCCTTCCAGGGATTCTGGCCAATACCCGGGCCCGCAGAGAGTAAGCCCGCGGCCTGCCCCAGGGTTCCCGTGTCCTCGGCAGGGACACCACAGGTGGGCTCCGGCACGTCGGGAGCGGGGCGGAGAGACCCTTCCCCCGGGGCTCAGTGGGTCACGTTTGCTCCCCCTGCCGAGAAGCCGCCGCTGGGCAGCCTCCGCTGGGAATCACGCCCCGCAGTGATCGCATCACGTTGTTAAGATGCCTTTGAATAAGAAAAAGGTTTTTTGGGTTTTTTTTTTTTTTTTTTGATTCTTAAAGAATTACCAAGTTCCCGCAGGTTCCCAAACTGGACACAGGATGTGAACACCGAGCCCCAAGCTAGGCAGGGGGTGAGCCCTGGTCGGGCGCACCTGGGGCGCGGCAGACGCCCCCACGGGCAGGCCCCTGGGATGCCCGCCCTCTGCTCACTTCAGCTGCGTCTTATGCAGCAAATGAGCCGTCTCGGCAAGGCCGCCACAGGCGAGGGAGGATGGACACGCTCAGCCCCCCCATGTCCCACAAGGCCCCGCCAGCCTCACTCGGGTGTCCTCTCACCAACCATTCATTGGTCTAGAGTAGTGTGTTTAGATTTATAGCTTTTTCTAGACTCTCCGCGCTTGTCACTGAACGGCCGTCCAAAACCAAAGCCAAGGTCTGACTCTGACTTGACGCCGCCTTCCAGACAGTCTCTCCGCAGACATCCCTGTTCTTCCTGCTCCGGCCGCTCTTGCCAATATCCCCCCCCCCCAATTTTTCTTAAATTGTCTTAACCACAATAAGCCCCACTAGCATTTTGTATCTGTTTCATTCTGCCCCTCACGCCCCCAGCAGACAAGTCGTGTCTCGCTGTCAGTGTGTCTCCAAGGACAGGCGAGGTGGGCGCTGAGACAGGTGCCCCAGCAGGTGGACGCCGGTGCCGCCTGGCCAGTGAGACCTTAGGGCAAGGTGACGCGTCTTGTGCTGGGGAGCATGAGGGCGCTGCTCACTCGTGCCCCGGACACGGGCATGCCCTCTTCGCTCTGGCTTCTTAAAGATCAGAAATGCCGATTTAGGGGGAACGTGCGCTGAGTCAGGAGCGTTTGCTCTGGCCCAGGGGCGGGAATCACAGAACCCGCGGGTCCTGAAGACTCACAGCCCCGCTCGTGACAGCCCCACTCAAAGATGCCATTTTTAACATCTATTTTAAAGTTTCTAGAGGTTTTTGTCTTTTATTCTCTCTTCTAAGCCTTTCTATTCATTTTCTCCGTGAACCCGTGTAGGAAGTGGAGAACCTGTTTGTGATCCTGGCGGCGATATTGCACATCGGGGACATCCGGTTCACGGCCCTGAGCGAGCCCGACACGGCCGTGGTCTCTGACCTTCAGCTTCTGGAGCAAGGTCAGTGGTGTGAGTTCCAGGACCTCCCCACGGGCAGTTGCGCGGAGCTGCCAGTAGGTGGAGACAGAGGACACAGCGGGGACAGAGCAGCTCTTTCCTCTCCTGCACAGTGGGGGTGGAGGGAAGCGCACCCCACTTTGTTCCTCCTTATAAAGGGTTTTGGGGTGAATAACTGGAGGTGCACTCATGTTCTCGTGCTGCCCACCACAGTAACAGGGCTGATTCTTCCGCACACACTTGCATTTATTTATATTGTTCTAAGTATTCTGCACCCCACCCCCGCCACCCTGATATTTTGGGGGCATGCTATTAGCTAAACAATTTAAACGGAATATAATTACTTCCCTTCAAAGATCTTGCCAAAAATCTCTCCTGCCTTTGAAGTTGCCTTGTTAGTCACTTCAGGAATTTTCCAAATACCTTCAAACCACAGATTGTGCATGGAAAATGCCCCTTTACCTGGTATCCACGCAACTTAGCCAGGGGTTGGGAAAACCACGGCCTCCGGGAGGGCGAAGGGGTGACCTGCCGAGGTTTGGCCCGTGAGCCTCCCGGTGTCGCTTCTGTCCGCCTCCGGCCGAGTCTGTTTGGGGTGTGCGCTCACGCCCGCGCCTCCTGACGGCTGTCTGTGGAGCTCACGCGTGGTGAAAGCCCCTGTTCCCGTGGAAGCCCCTGTTCCCGCCGTCAGAAATGCCGCTCACTTGGTGTCTCCGATGCCCTAGTGGCCGCCATGCTGCAGGTGTCGGCAGAGGAGCTGATGACTGCGCTGACGGCCGACGTCCAGTACTTCAAAGGTGAGCGCCCTGCCCTGGCCCTGCCTGGACGGTGCTGGTCTGTCTCGTGGCGAGTAAATCCAGCCTCCCTGATCCCACTCACTGGGCAGCGCCACGCCCGCCCCACCTCGGCTGGCTTGCTGTGCCCCCCGCCTGCAGTGAGCGCGTTGATGAGCGGGTCGCCCGCTCCAGCATCCACCCAGAACCCTTCCCCTGGCAACGCTGGGGCATTTATGGGCTTGGCGCCCTGCTCTCCTCCACAAGGGGCCTCGCCCGCCCCTCGGACCAGCAGCTGCCGTGCGGAGCTGTACCGGGTGCCGGGAACGTTGGGGTTTTAAATTCTCACAAGTCCCGATGAAGGGGCAGGGCCGTTTCCGTTTCAACGGACGGGAAAGCAGATTCAAAGCGCTCAGGTCATGTTGCAGGTCAGATCTCCAGCTAGTGGCCTGCGGGGGTCAGGACCCGAGGCCGTCCGCCCCTGAGGTAAGTGAGTAGGTCAGACACGTCAGGGCTCACCCTTGGGTGCCCCCCACTCTCCCCTCCCCACAGCACAGCCTGAATGCATCCTTCCTCCCCTAAAATTACGGTTCATCTCTCATCCGGCCTTATCTGTGTTTGCTGCCTTCCACGCGGCTTCAGAGATGATGCCTGAGCTATCGGTCAGATTTTAATGCTTGAAGAACCATCTTGCAAGGACACGCCACCTTTTGGGCAGTAAAATGTGCTCCCGTAGGAGGCCCCTCTCACGGGGCACGCCTGGCACGCCCTGGCCCTTGTCATTTCCATTCCAAGCTTCCCGAAGCTCCCACGGGCGCCATTCTAGCTGACGGTTTTGTGATGGAAAACGGAACCCCCGCCGGCATCTGACATCGGCCCTGCAGTCTTTCTGCCCCTCACTGGCCAGCTGGCAACCGTCAGAACCCCTCTTTGTGCTGATTCGGGGACCTTGCCCCTAGAAGTCAGAAATGGACACTTGCTCTGCGGTTCCATCTCGATGGCCTTGAACTTTAGCCCCAACTCCCCATTCCCTGCGGCCCACGTTTCCCTTTGCTCTCAGCCTGTCTTGGAAGCAGGTCCTCCCGACCTCACGGCCCTGACTGACCACGTGGTGTCAGTGCCCGTGGCTTCTGCCCCGCCGGGCCGCAGCGCTGGCCTTGCAGGCCGTGACCAAAGACTGGACGTAGCCCCCAGTTCCTCTACCTTCAAACAGAAACGCCATGCGAGGCGAGGCTCCGAGCCACCTTGCCTTTCGTTTTTTCTCCTCTATTCAGTTCTCTCCGTAAGATAAACAGCTTCTCGCTCAAGATTTCAATCCCCGTCTCCCCCGGAATGGCCTGGAAACGTCTTCCTTAGGACCGGTTTTTGCTCCCAAATCCCCGGCCCACATTTGGATTTTGTTGGGCCATTGCTTTGAAATTATTTTCAAGATGACCCACTTTCCAGGTGCCTGGGTGCCCTGGGGCGATCCCAGAGCCAGCCTGTGAGCTGTCATCAGAGTCCCAGCGGGGGTCAGTCCTTCTCGGGGCCGGTGGCCGCCTGGAGGGAAACAGCTGCCGTGGGGTGGACGCTGAGCTCCACATTCATGGCCAACAAGGCTGTGGCGCACATGGCGCTGGCTCGGGGGAAACATTTGTGAACTAACTGCCAGAGACCTCATCTATTGGGGTGAACAGGTTGTTATTACACCTCTGATACAGGGGGTTCACGGCACTGGCAGGATGTCACAGTTGTGTTTGCTCCTAGATGGGGATGCACCTGTTCTTACGTGCCCCACCCCCGCCCCGCTTCTGCTCTTCCAGGAGAGATGGCGACCCGGCGGCACACCGTCGAGATGGCCGAGTTCCACCGGGACCTCCTGGCCAAGTGCCTCTACAGCCGGCTGTTTGGCTTCTTGGTGAACACCGTCAACTGCTACCTCGACAGCCAGGACGAGCCCGGCAGGTAGGGGAGGGCGCGGCCCCGCTGCCCCTGGCATGGCCACACGGGACTGCGGGCGCCAGAAAGGCCGGCCTGTGAGCTGGACTGTCCCCAAACCTCTCGTTTTAACAAGGTGCTCTTCCTGGAAGGGCTGGTCGATTATTTTTAGAGGCTGAGGTGCCCCCAGCCAGACATGCGCTCCCTGTCGAGTTAAGTTAGTCCATGTCTCGGGCCCAAGAGGAAGGGCTCTCGGACTCGGGAGCACCCAGAGGCCTAACACGTGTGTGAACTTGGGGCGCAGGCGGCCGGGGTGCACGGCATGCAGGTGTCTGGCGGCCTGGGTCTCAGGAGCAGCTCCCGAGAGGGGCTTCTACACAGACCCTGCTCTCTGCACCTGCGCGGTCTCAGGGGACCCCCGGGGCAGCCTTGCCAACTTCTCGTCGCCTGGTCTCTAAGCAGCAGATTTCAGGGCTACACGATCCTCTGAAGATTACAGGTCTCCAGGGCATCGTGTCGGTGGGAAACTTGGTTAATATTCGTGTTGCTGATAATGACCTTGAACAGACCTTGGGAGCAAATGGCCTCCGGGAACAGCTTGTTGTCCGGGAACAAACGCCTCCTAAAGCGCCTTCCTTTGGAGAGAACGTGGGCACTAACGTGTATTCGTGGGAAAGTTCTTAAATAAGGGTGGACTTCTAGAAGGTGTCAAGGACAAAGGGACACTAGAATTCTCATTAGAGTGTACGTGTGCAAGTGCCCCCTCCGCACATGCCTGGCAGCCGCTGATGTCAGCGTGGGTGTGCACTTATCTCCACCGTAGCAGAGACCTTGGTGTTTGGCTTGGTGGGGATTCTTAATTTTTTTAATATTTCTGATCAGTTAATTTCTGATTTCCCTTTAAATATGGAAATTATTCCCACGGTGATACTAATAAGCCAAGTCTGCCTGATTAATGTATAAAATTATAGGCAGCTCCACTGAAGTTGACTTTGGAAAAATTAATGTCTCGTCCAGCTGCGTGCAGAAAGTTTTTGAAAATTTCCATTTGACATTAAATCTTACAGAGCCTTAAATATATATAATTGCAAAAACTTACACATTATCTAGGTGCTTTACTGCAAAGGCACCGATACACACTCATCGAGAAATATAAACATAAACTCTGAAAAACACATTTTTCTCCTCTGTGTAGGAGCATCGCCCCTGTCAATACGGGCATGTCCGATGTCTGATCCTTCCCAGTTATTTGCTGAGCAGGCACGTGAGGACAGGGATCAGTGGGATCCGAAGTGAGTTTATGCTCGGAGTTTAACTTCTGAGAGACGGCGTTCTCCTTGGAGTCGAAACTCCGTTTCTTCCTTTCCACGGCTCCCACGGGTCACCCAAAGCCGAATTTAAATTCCAAAATAATGCAAAGAAAGGTCATGTTTGCCGTGTTCCCAGCTCATTGAAATGGAAAGCTGGGGGTTTGCTGTCTTACAGCGCCATTTCCTAAGTCCCAGAAAGGTCTCAAAATTTGGGTAAACTTAGAATAAGCTTCTATTGTTGATGAAGCCCCATTATTTGGGAAATCTTGTAATATGCTGAAAAGGATTATGTAAAATATCCCAGTGGCTAACGCCCGGTGCGCACCTTGCTGTGGAGGGGAAATATTTTCACTCTATTTTTTGGCAAATTTTGCATGAGCGCATAAGCAGAAATGTGTTCTCTCCGAGCAAGTTATAAAAGGGGAAAATGAGTGTATTGGAGCAACTGAAATGTTTATTCTTGGAACGTCAGACTTATTTCCTGATGACAGTAAATCAGGCGCTGTATTAGTAGTCTGCGCTGGAAAATGCCTACTTGGGGTCTAGTCTACCTAGATCCCAAGTAGGGTTACTTCTGAGTGAAACTGCCGGGGTGTCTGGCTGGAGCAGCGAGGATGGTTGGCTCATTGAGACGGTTCAAGGCACCCCGTGTGTTTGCCCGGCCACAGCCGGTTGTCGAGGGCAGTGTCCACACCTCCTGGACCTGGCCTGCCGGCAAGCACCAGGCTGGACGCTGAGGCCTGCAGATGGCGGGGAGCATGCGGCTGGCACACAAGGGCCACCTGGTGGGCCGGGCGCTTAAGGAAACGCACGGAGACTCTGTGTCAGGCCACGTTGGAATGACTTGGTCCAGAAGGTAAAAGGCGTGATGAACACGGTCACTACGACGCAACGTGAAACGGTGATTCCCGTGGGCAGCGGGGGTGTCCTTTGCTGCAGTTTCCTTCCCGAACTTCCAAAACCAGGTGTTGGTTTGCTCTGTGCTTCTGTGGTCTTCCTTTGGGGGTGAAGTTACCTAATAGCACCCACTTTCATGTCTGATTCTTAGTCAGTTGAGAAATAATATGCCAGAGTAAGGAGAACGGGGCCCAGAGACCCACCTGGCGAGACGGCAGCGGGGCCATGAGGGGGCAGCCGCCCTGCCCAGGGCCCCGGAGCCAGACTTGTCCGGGTCCCGTCCGGCCAGCACTGAGGGGCAGTGGCAGGCCCTGCCCGGAGGACGGGGCTGAGCCGGCTGGCCCAGGGCCCCAAGGCAGGAGCAGACGTCGCCTACGAGAGGGCAGGAGAGCACAGCGGGGACTCCCCTCTCCAGGAGCCCAAAACCAGCGTTTCCTCCTAACAAACCTGAGTCTTACTTTGGAGAAAATAATGATCACCTGTGACATTTCTCAGACTGCTCCATCTTCCCTCTCCCCTGTCGGCGACAGCGCTAGGGGTTCCCGTCACAGACCTGCTGGGGAGGGGGGCTGCCCCCGGGGGTTGAGGTGACGTGAAGTGATTTACAGGTGAAGCTTTTCACATGTGAGCTCAGCTATTTAATTCCTGGAATCCTCAGGAGGACATTTTCTGCAAACTAGCCTGGAGCGTGTGTTTAGCACGGAATGGCAGGGAGAGGTGGCGTCACCCCGTGGGCACCGGGCGGCTGGTGCGGGCTCTGCCCTCCCCAGAGGCCCCAGGAGGGCTGTTCAATTTCTGACAACAGCCTGTTGGTGTTTCGTCGCTGCGCCTTCACCCCAAAGTCATCTCACCTTTTATCCTGAAAACTTCACAGTTTCAATACATGGGGAATTTATTTTTGTTTAAACATGGAATTGATACATTGATAATTCTATATTTTCAGTTGGATCTTCAATTGTCCCTACCCCGTTTATTAGAAATGCTTTTTACTGCCATCTGACTTTCAATGTGTTTGATTTAAACTGTATCAATAATATATTGTCTTAATAAGTAAGTTCTGTTTTCCTTAAGTGTTTGGCTCTCCCTGGGTCTTTAGTTCTATATCTGAATTTTGTGATCGCTCTGACTCAATTCATGCAAAAGTTCTTCTGGGATTTTGACTAGAATGGATACTTATAGATCAGTATGGGGAGAACTGGACATTTTTAGGTTATTGGTTCTTTTTCTCACAAATATTAAATATATTTCTATTTATTCATGTAGGTTTTTTTATATTTATTTGTTTGTTTATTTATTTATTTATTTATACAAGCACTGGGTACAGTCAGAAGCGCGGGAGGGTGAGAGGGTTCACCAGAGACAGAGCGGGGAGCAGAACAGGCAGAAGGACCGAAGCACACTGCTGAGGGGAGCAGCGGGCGGCAGGAGAGGTCTGCGCGGCGCCATGTGGGACCCTTGCCGGTGGCCGGGGATCAAACCGGCGCTGCAGAGGCTGCAGCTTCGCAGCCCAGCGCTCAACCGCTGTGCCACCAGGGGAGGCCCCTCATGTAGTTTTTACTCGTTTATATTTTTCTATCATTTTCTTGTCCATTTCAATTGAATTGTTCCTACAAATGTTATACTTTTTGCTGCTATGATGAGTGTTGTTTTCTATTACATTATAATTTGCTTATTGAGATGCTCAATCTTGAGTTTCTTATCTTGGTCTTATATTTAGAGACACTTCTGTCTTTTCTTATTCATTCTAATAATTTTCTTTTGGAATATCATACTGTTTTCTAACATACTATTCTCTTACGTCTGTTATTCTTCATATTTTGTTGCATTGTCTAGCGCTGCTTGGAGAATGTTGAAAATTTGCAATGAAAGTGGGTATTCTTTTCTTGTTTTCAAGTTAGTGTAATACCTATAAATATTTACCAGTGATAATCTGTTTACTTAGAGTTCCAGCAGGTCGTCTTCCTAAGTGTTTACCATCATGGATGGATGCTAAGTTTTATCTGCAAATGTCCCAGTGTCTATTAGTACTGTAGCAACTCCTTCCTTTGCTCTCCTGGCAAATTGTAGTTATGTATCTATTTTTTATAGTGCAAGTCCTATTTGTTAGATGACATACTTAATTCAATTTTGTAGCCTCTACTAAGGAGGTTTGCATTTATTTTCATTAGTGAACTGAGACTCTTTTTGTAATTTTTTGCTGTCAAGTTCACATAAAAGAGTAAATTTGGTAGCTTTTCCCATTTTTTTTCTCTGAAATATTCCTTAGAAATGCTCCCTAAAATCTTTGGGGAGGTAGAAGAAGGATGAGCTTTTGCATACTGATTTTTTTTTAAGTTTATGGATTGGGCCTCCTTGGTGGTACAAGGGGTTAAGCACAGCACTAGGAAGCTGTCCGCAGCCTCTGCAGCCTGAGTTCCATCCCCGGCCAGGGAGCTACCCACAGGGCGCAGGGACCTCTCCTGTCTCCCTGCTGCTCCCCTCAGCAGTGGATTTCAGTGAATCCACCTGTTCTGCTCCCCACTCTGTTGCTGGTGAATCCTCTCACCCCTGCACTGCTGGCCTGTACCCCAGTTCTTGTATACATAAATAAATAAATCTTTAAAAAAAATTTACAGATCTAACCAGATAATCACCTTCTCTTTTGAGTCATATGTAGTTCTAGAAAATCATCCATTTTCAGATTCTGAGTGCACGCCGGGTGTCAGGCCTGTGCCTTGCGGCCTGCGGGCCTTCCTGTGGCTCTCGTGTGATGACCTTTATTTACTGATTCTGTTTGTTTACATCTTTTCCCGGCATCAGGCATGTCTCCCTGAAGCTTGC